AGATAGAGATATAGATAGATAGATAGGAATGAGAGAGGAATGAGTGAGAGAGAGACAGAGAGAGAGACACACACACACACACACACACTCAGTGTGTTAAGAGGCACAGTTGAGGGGGACTGTGTGTCTGCTGCCAGCAAGGGAGGGGGCGGGCCCCGGGGTAGAGAGAACTATGATGGGGAGTGTTCAGCAACCACTCTCCAGGGGAGAGAGCCCAGATTTGGAGCATCTGCCAATTCCTAAGGTGTCTCCCCCCCCCTCCCCACCGCCGATGGCGCCGCTGTCAAGTGGCCATGGGAGGTCAGTGAGTGCGCAGTGGGAAGAGACTCCCACAGTGAAGCTGGCTCGTTATGCCCAGGGGCCGCCTTGTTTTCTGGCTGCTCTTCATGCTCAACAGCTTTCTGGCGGCAGATCTTCTCAGGCCCTCAGGAGGTGTGACCTAAGAGCAGTCTCTCAAAAGCATCCCAAGCCAAAAAACACAGTCCAGCACCCAAAGAAGGAATTCTAAGACGAGCATTTCTTCAACGTTATGATGTGAGCACGTCGTTGACACCAACACTGAAATGTGATCTTTCCCCTTTCATCACTCCTCACACGCGGCTGCTTCCAGGAGAAGTTGAAACATTTCCTCCAGGCTCCTATCAGTTCTTGCTGAAACACATCGCTTGCCCTCCTCCTGACACAAAGCCCCAAGCCCGGGAGTGGGAGAAGCTGAGAGGCAGGGGGGGCTTCAGCGGGAGGGAATTCTGACCCTCACACAGAAAGTCCTCCCTCCTCTCACTTGGGCTCGGGGGCCAGGACTCTTGTCTGCCTCAGGACCTTTGCACTTGCTCTTCTCATTGCATGAATGCTCTCGCCCCACGTCTTCGCACAGCTTGCTGACATTCCCTTGAGGCCTCTGCTCAAATGTCGCCTCCTCAGAGGCCATGCCATCTAAACAAGCTCTCTGGTGACAAACACTGCTGTCTGCCTCCACAAAGACCAGTCCGGCTTTCTCTGTTTGAGTGACAATGTGCATAACCCCAAGGCGGGTATGTGGCTCAGTACTGGCCAATGAGACATCAGGGAAGGACTCTTGGGGCCGCTGGGAGAGATGGTCCTCCATGATCAAGGAGGCCCTCTTTCCTCTTGCTCCGGGCATCAGCGTGAGGATCTGAATGATGCCTGGAGCTCTGGCTGCCACCTTGTGACGAGGAGGTGACCAGCCTGGAGAAAGCCAGCTGGTCTCTTGAACAGTCAGATCTGGCAGGACAGAGCTGGCTTCCTACATGGCACCAAGCAATTGGGGCTGAGTTCCATTGCCCCTTTTATGTGGATTATGTGCTTGTCAGCTTGCCATGGTCCCCATGTGTCCCTAATGCCTTACTCTGGCCCAGTGCACTTTCTTACATCCCTGCTGGTCCCTGGGCAACTCCAATGGCAACGCAATGACTTGCCTAACAGTGCGTCCATCATCCCCTGCAGGACGCCAGCACCCCAACAAAGGGACTGGGGCTGGTGCATCTCTGGTTCTAGGACCCAGCCCGTGCCTGGGACGTGGCAGGAGATACAGAACTTTCTGTGGTGATAGAAAGTTTCCATCATGTGTTCTGTCCAACACCGTAGCCACTAGCCCTATGAGGCTGTTGAACATTTGAGTGAGATGTATCACATGTGACTGAGGAATTGAATTTTTAATTTAATTTTATTTGATTAAATTTAATTAGCCATGTGACAAGCGGCTACCGTATTGTACGGTGTAGTAAAGACTTGCATCCACGTCTCTGTAGCGTTCAGAGCCTTTTCTGCTCCTCTGTTCAGTTATTTGGTTGGCGAGTGATGAATGGGGCGATTTCTCTGGTCCCAGGCCCTCAGAGCATGGGGCAAGGCTTTCTGGAAATTGTTGGGACCCATGCAGGGCTTTCTGGATAATAACAGGGGCTGGGGCAAGTGCTGGGAGCTGGGTCTCCCCATCAAGCAGCCCCAGCATCCTGGTTGACTTTGGTGGGACTGCCAACGACACATCTGGGAAGGAGCAGAACCGGGCTGGCAGCCCAGACAGACACATAGGAAGATGGGGCCAGCAGACGCAGCAGCTTTCAGGGCACACAATGGCACGATGCCAGGGCTGAGACGCTCCCCTCCTGCACCCCCACTTCCACTGTGGCCTGGTTAGGTAGAAACCGAACCAGCCTGCTCAGGTGGCATTGGGGGGACGTGAGCTGGCTGCCAGGGTCCAGGAGAGGAAAGCCACACCCTCTTGATTGTATCCTCCTGAGACCCAGCCCCAAACCAGCCACTGCCCCAGTCACTGGGACAGCAGAGAAGCACAACAGATGCCACTGGGGCCCCAAAGAGCACCTCTGAATTGGAAGATCCAGCGGACAGCCTGCAGCTGGCCAATCAGCCAGGCCCAGGAGGAGTTCCAGCTTACCAGCTGTGTAACCTCGGTCATGTTACTTAACCTCTCTGAGCCTCAATTTTCTCCTGTATAAAATGGAGAAGAGTTTTGGGATCAGTAAAAAAACATTTACGAAGTGCTTGGCACAGAGCAGAAACTCAAAAAATAGTCAATATTTGCCCAACTCAAGGGCAGTGGTCCTTCATCTTTTGGGGCTCATAGGACCCCTAGGGAATCTGAGAAAGCACGGAATTGCTCCCCAGAAGGCTGTAGGTCTACACAAATGACATGATTCCCCAGGCTCTGAGCTGCACGACTGGTGTCCTTGGAGTTAGGCCAGGCATTCGTGCCCGGTGTGATCAGCCTGGCACAGGCTCCTTTCCAGAGCCAGGGGCCTGGGCAGCAGCCCATTGTGTGTCTGTGGGAGGCCTCCCTGAGCCCTGGGCTGGATCCGGAGGAAAACCTGGGCTTGCACGGAGGTGCAGTCATCCGAGCTGCCTTTGCAGACAGCCCTGTGCACTCAGGCCCCCCATGGCCTGGCCCTGCTGTCCTCTCCAGGCATCGGCGGGGCTGCCCATTGCTGGGCAGTTGGCAGCTGACAGAGCCTGGAGCCAGAGCAGATGATGTCGGGGGTCCCCTCAGAAATCCTCATGTGGACCAGTTCCCGGGGGTGCCAAACCCCAGACTCCCACTGACTCCATCATTTCATTCAGGGAGTGACCAGGACACAGCCCCTCATTCCTGACCTCCCTTCCCACCCCATCTTATTAACAAATATACACCTGGAGCCTGGTTACAATTACTCAGAAGACAAAACCCACCACAAATTCTTTTCGGATCTCTTTCCCCAGGCGTGGCCTATCTTCACCTCTCCTTGTCCACCTCCCAGCCCCCAAATTACATACAAGATGTGAGATTGGTTCTTCCGCAGGCAAGCCTGAGAATTCTGAAGTTAAATAAACATAAATAAATCAGCAGGCCTTTGACTCCTGGACTCTTTTCCAGTCACGTCTATCCCCTTGGCTCTAAGAACTTTACAAAGCAGCACGGTTTCTAAGTGGAAACGTGATTGCCTCGGCGTGGGGGAAATGTACTGTTTGACTTAAAGCTCTAACGAGGTGGAAGCAGCGCTTCCAGGCCTCGCCTCTCCTCGTGTGGGGCCGGCCGACCGCTGACCACGGGAATCGCAGCCTCTCCAGACCCAGCTCAGCACTTGCTTCCAGGAGCTGTTCTGGAGACCAGCATTGCTAGCTGGCTCTCTGGGGAACGCCTTTTGCTTTTAAAGGTGTTGCATTCCCTGGCCAATGCTAACAGGTGGCCTAGAGATGGGTCTTGGAGGCAGGAGAGGACAGGTTCCCTCCTAGGAGCCCAGCCACAGCCACCCGCTTGCACCTCCTGGGCTCTGTGGTGCTAATTTGACTTCCAAGGGTTGGAATGCTAGAAAGTGCTACAGCATGCACAGTGTGCGTGTGTGCGCGTGCGCGCGCGTGTGTGTGTTAGGAGCTATGTATTAAGAGTTATTTTATTCGTAATTCATATCTGGACTATGTGGAAAAAAACTATTAGAGGATCAATTCATGCCCCTGGTATCTGAAACTATAAAAGAAAGGACTGCTCCTTTATCTCTTAGGGATTTCCTGAGGCTGTGGGTGAGAATGGAAATAACAGCCATTTCACACAGATAAAGATTTCAGTGGTGGGTAAAACAAACCTAAGCAGCAGTCCTGGGCTCCAAAGTGTCATCAGTGACTGTGGCTCCTTCTGTCTTTCTGTTCTACCATCCTCTGCATAGGGTTTCCACCCTCCAGTTCACCTCAAGATCCAATATGACTGCTGGAGCTCCAGCCACCACGTCTGTATTCCAGACAGAAAACTGGAGAGACGGGAAGCTGGAGGGAAGGCTGTGTATCTACTTTGTCTCTCCCTCAACCTTACCTTACATTTCCTTGATTACCCTAGCTGCAAGAGAAGCTGAGAATTATGATCTTTTATCTCTATTATCGTTCCCCAGGATAAAATCAGGATTCTGTTAAGCACGGAAGGGAATGTGGATATTGGATTGTCAACTAGCAGTCGCTCCCACAGATCCCACGAACACACAGACCTGGGTTTGAACCCCATCTTGCCACCTACCAACTGCAGCACATGCCAGGCTGAAGCTGGCCTGGTTTGCCTGTGCCCTGTTGGGTCCATACTTCAAAGTTGGCATCAAGAGAGTCAAGGAGAAGGATGGTTCCAGAGCCCACGGGGCCTTTGCCAGCCACTGTGGAGAAAAGTGCAGCTTTCCTGCACCCTCAGCTCCTGGGCAGTGGGCGCAGACCCTTAGAGGGCCTTACCCTGAAGGCTCCCTCCTGAGCTGAAGGATGACGCGAGGCTGCATGTAGGAGCACCACACGCACAGACACGGAGAACTTGTGTAGGGAGAGCTGAGTATGGGGGGCCTGGCCTCAGGGCTGGAGTCAGAGGGACACAAGGGCACAGACGGGGAGACTTCCCAAACAGCCCATGAAAGGACACGCCTTTCCCAGGGTGGCTGTAATTTATCGATGCATCTCAGTCAAAGCGGGTATGTTAGTAATTAGCCCCACACCCAGGAGTCCATCAGGCCTGTCCGGGGGAAGCTGTGTTTCCTCTGCCCTTCACCCCACACGTGACATGGAGCCTGAACAAAGCTTGCTGGCAGTGGTTTGCAGGTTAGGAAGGTGACAAGAGCTGAAAACCTCTGCAAACTAGTAAATTAAAAAGATGGTTGAGAACAAGGAAATGGAGAAGTTTTAATGCAAGAAAAATAAGAGCTCGCACGCTTCCCCTTCTGCCTGATCTGTCCTGCCTGGAGATGTGCGTACTGTGTGTCCTGAGGGTCCCTCCCTTTAGGTGGCACACCTGTTCCATGCGTTACATTCAACTGCTGCTTTGGCTCCTGCGGGTCGCTGGCCTCGGCCTGGCTTTGTGTTCTCTGTGGGGCCCTGCCTGCCCACTAATGCCAGCAGGGCTGGACGACTCAGCCGGGTCAGCCCTGGCGGAACAAACTGCTCCCCTGTCCCCCCTGGACTCCTTGGAGGGGCTCTCACTGGGTGGGATGGCCCCCCCCCAGGCTGGGGGTCTCTGTGGGCACAGGATGCCCCGTACCCCACAGCACTGCCGGTGGGACCCGACACGCTCCCGTGTCCCGCTCAGCCTTGGGGGGCCCGCCTCACAGCTGGTCCTCATCCACCCAGACGGTCTTGCGCTGTTCCTCGCCGATCTTGTCCTTGATGACCCGGAGCAGCTCCTCCATGCTGCTCCACATGTCAGCCTCCACCGTGGCGTACAGGCAGGGCAGGGCCTCCAGTTCCTTCTCCTTCAGCCGGCACAGGCGCAGGAATTCCTCCTCAGTCTCGGGCCGAGGCAGCATCTTCCTGTGGGACAGGGGGAGGGGGACGCATGGGGGGCAGTGGGTGAGGCTGCAGGGCTGTGGCACCATTGCCTGCCCACCCCGGGAGAGCTGCTGTGCACTCCCGGCCACCCCCTGCTGGAGGCCCACTCACTCCTCCTGGGGCCGCCCCGATCACCGGCTGACCGCTGTCTTCCCCGTGCTTCCCCCAAAGCGGGTCCTGCCCTCTGGCACACTATATATATATATATATATATATATATATATATATATATATATATATATATATATATATATATATATATACACGGCGCCCTTTTATTCTGCTCATTATGGAAATCCCAAGAGGTGGGGACTTAAAAACATCATTCTTTTTGCTTTTTAATTGTGGCAAAGTTCTCATAAAATAAAATTGACCATCTTCACCATTTTTAAGGGTGCAGTTCAGTGGTGTTAACTTTATTCACACTGTTGTGCAGCCATCACCACCATCATCTCCAGAACCTTGTCATCTTTCAAAACTGAGACTCATATCCATGAAACACTCCCTCACCATGTCCCTCCCCCAGCCCCCGGCACCGCCTCCTACTTCCTGTCTCTGTGAATCTGAGTCCACTGGGGACCTCGAATCAGTGGAATCACAGTGTGTGTCCTTTTGTGACACATTATGCCCATTTCACTCAGCACAATGAATGCCCTCAGGTGTCGGAAAGTCCTTCCTTCTAAGGGTGAAGAATAAATATCCCACTGTGAGCATGGACCCCATTCATGCACCAGTGGGCACTTGGAGCTTCTAGCTTTTGGCTACTGTGAGTACTGCGGCTGTGAACGCGGGTGTGGAAATAGCTCTTCAAGTCCCTGCTTTCACATCTTCTGAATACAGGCCCCGAAGTGGAACTGCTGGCTCCTGTGGTCATTCTAGGTTTAATTTTTGAGGAGTCACCGTACTGTTTTCCACAGTAGCTTCACCAGGGTTCCAATTCTCACCATCTTCGCTAACACTTGCTAGTTTCTGGTTTTGGGTAACGGCCCTCCTGATATGTGTGAGGTGGTGAGGAGGGGATTTTGGTCTCATCTGTTCACTCATGGGGTCCCCAGTGCCTGGCACTTGATAGGCACCCAGTAAATATTTGGTGAAAGGATGGAGTGGGCTGAGCTCTTAGTCTGCTGTGTGAGGAGGGGTGGGGATCAGAGACTATGCCACGTAATGCCCAGGCCCCACACCTCAGCGTCATCCCGACTCCTCTATCAAACCCCACAGCTAACCTTTCAGCAAATCGCACGGCCTTGGCCGTGGATCCAGGTTGGGCCTTCCCTCATCACCTGCCTGACAGGTCTGGGTCCCAGCTCTTGCCGGCTGTCCTGAAGCCCATGTCCACACAGCAGCCAGGGAGCCTCGTACCCGTTTAGGTCATGTCCCAATCTGCTCAAACCTCCAGCGGCTTCCGCCTCATTCAGGATGAAATGGCCCGACATGGGCTGGCCACACATCAGCTGCCAGGCCGCCTCTCCCCACTGTGCCCACCACGCAGGCCTGCTCCGGCCTGTCCCCTACCTGAACCTCTTGATGTTCTTCTCCGACACCCGGATGAAGAGCACGATGGGGTAGATCCTGGACTTGATCAAGTCCCGGGTGCAGCTGATCCCCGCCTCCAGCAGACAATGCTTGTTCTGCAAGCACAGCGTCTGGCGGTCAGCAGCGGGCCCAGCCTGCTCCTCCAGCCATGGGGGGGACTGAGCAGGGGCCTGTGACGCGGGGGCAGAGAGTGGGGAGACATCCCAGAGCACCGCTGCCTGAACCAGAGAATGACTCAAGGCAAAACCTGATCTCTGGACGAGGCCCCCGCCTATGTGGGCACTTGGTCCCACTCTGCTGTAAACAGAGGCAGGCACTGGCAGAGCCCTGGCACCAGGCCCGAGGCGAGTCAGGTGGCGTGACGGAGTCTTAATAGAAGCCCAAGTTGGTGTCAGGGCCGCCTGCTGCATTCTTGGGACTCGGCAAGGGGTGGGAAACCCCTGAGAGGACAGTGGCTGGAAGGTCCTGGGAGTGCCTGCAAGGGTTCCCTGGCACCCACGAGCCTGTTATTTCTGAAAAGGGGCAATCCCTGTTTTGCTGAACATGTCACTTTAAAGAAAACACCCCCCTGCGTGGAAACAGAGCATGCATATGGAAAAGGGCACGTGCTTCTCAACTGGAAGCTCGCGGATTTCACCAACTGAGCGTGCCTACAGCTTGCACCCCGGTCCAGAGGTGGACTCCCATGCTCCTTCCAGTCACTGCCCCCACCCCCACCACAAGTGCAGCCGCTGCCCGGACTTCTAACAGCACAGGTCTGTTAGAAGGCATCACCTTTCAGCTACCATGACCTCGGCTCTAGCCCTGCGTACCCATTTTCCATCCACTCTGCTGTCAGAATTCCTGAAACTGCTACGGCCCACACTTGAGGACCAAACCGTCCAAGGCTGGCTGATGGCTCTGCCTGCACTCTTGTCTGTGTGAGTGACCATGTGGGGAGGGTGCAGGAGTGACCCTCTTTGGCGAACATGGTGTCTGCCAACCTTACTCTCCCCGTCTCTCACTCTGACACGCTTGCTCTATCCCTGGCCCTTGTTATCACAGACAGACAGACAGACAGACAGACAGACACACACCCGCCTAAACAACGCGAACGAAGACACCAGCACCAGGAAGCCGTCAGGAATAGAAGGCTTCAAAATATAAATGCGCGTCAGAGCCCGAGATGAGGGTGTGGAGAGAGTTAATAAGCGGCAGGTGAGAGACGAAGGGAACAGGAGGGGGAGGACCGGCCCCAATCCGAGCTCGCCCATGGCTGAGGCGGCCTCACAGAGACAATCGGGCAGGTGTCAGCCCCGTCCAGCCTCCCAGCCCCCACCTCACCTTGGCCGCCACAGCCTCAATGTTGGCGGGAACGATACATTCAAAAGTGTTGGGGTTTTTTTCTCGGGAGTAGATGATGGTCTCTGTCTTCTGCTTTCTGAGGAACTCGTCTCTCGTGACAACATCTGTGGAGAGACGGGCCAGTCCTGAGAGTGGCACGAGGTGACCTTGGGTTGACTGTCCTGTCCAGACTCTGCCGCCACCGTCTGCGCTGGACAGCACTCCATCCCGGTCCCCTTCTGGACATGTTTAAATGAATCCTGTCTCCTCCACTAGACTGCAAGGCTTCTCGGGGGCAGGGTCAGGACATACTTCTTCACACTCCCCGCGGCAATCCACGGAATTGCTGGTTAGTAAATACTTGTGGTTTGGTCTCGCAGCAATAAGTTTGATTGGACAAAGTAGCTTAGACACTGTGATGCAATACTGATCACCACTGGCCTATCATGAAGGAGTTCCCACTCCACCCATCCATCTACCCACTCACCACCCATCCACTGATCCATTAGTCTGTCCATCCACCCCTATATCCACCTACTTATTAATTGAATAATTTAATATTTATCAAAAACCTACTGAGGACCAGGCATTGAGAATAAAACTATAATAAAAACATAGCTGTTATACTTGAAAAACTGCAACTTAGCAGAGGAGAAGACTATGGGATACAGATAATTATAAAACGATTTAGTGGGTGCAATGATGGGACACTTATTGTAGAAGCATGGAGGTGTGGGGGTCTGGGAGAAGGGGAGCAGGCTGGCTTCCTGGAGGAGGAGGTACACATCGGAGGCCCCACTCATTTGCTGGGTGGCCCTGAACACGTCTAACCTCTCTGGGCCTCAGGTTCTGTTTGTGAAATGAGGGTGGAGCAGGTCCCGGCTGGCCTGCGGGGGCCCAGAGCACAAGAACCATCGGGCAGCTTAAAATAAACGACTCCTGAGGGACACGTCTGCATGAGTCTCAAAATCACTGTTGGGTGAAAGGGGGCAGATACACTGCATGATCTCCTTTATAGAAAACTGTAGATGATGCAAACTAATGTGTGACATGGAGCAGGCCCACAGTGCCTGGTGCAGGGGTCAGGGGAGGCACGTGACTGTAAAGGGGCCCGCGGGAACTTCTGGGGAGACTTGATGTTCTGTGTCCTGGTCGCGGCCGTGGTGGCAGTGGCATACACATTCGTCCCAACTCATTCAACTGCAAACTTAAAATGGGGCATCTTACTGTATGTAAACTGCACCCCAACAGGTTGATGTAAAACCTTGACACCTCTACTTCACATCCACTAGGATGGTTATTATAAAACAAAACAAAACAACAACAAAAACAACCAGAAAATAACAAGTGCCGCCGAGGACGTGGAGAAATGGAACCCTGTGCACACTGGGGGGATGTGAAACAGTGCCGCTGCCGTGGAAGCAGTGTGGAGGGTCCTCAAATAATTAAACACAACCAACATGTGACCCGGCGATCCCACCTCTGGGCCTACGCCTAAAAGAACGGGAAGCGGGGTCTCAGAGATCCCTGCACCCCACGTCCACAGCAGCGCTGGGCACAGTCGCCAGGAGGCGGGAGCAGCCCCGTGTCCGCTGACGGTTGAGTGACAGACAAATGGGGTCCAGCCACACGGTGGATGTTACTGAGCCTTAGAAAGGAAGGAATTCTGTCACCTGCTACAGCGTGGATGGACCCTGAGGACACTGTGCTGATGAAATCAGCCAGTCACAAAGGACACACACTGACGTGAGGACCTAGAGGAGTGAGACTCACAGAGACAGGAAGTGGATGGTGGTGAGGGGCTGGGGGAGGGGAGTGAGTGTTTCTTGGGGACAGAATGTCAGTTTGGGAAGATGGAAAGTTCTGGAGATGGACGGTATGGATGGCTGCACCACAGTGCGAATGCATCTAATGCCACTGAACTGGATGCTTAAAAATGGTTAAGATGGGAAGTTTTACTGGGTTGTTGGAAAAGTCATGACATATTTTTTCTATGTTTTTCGTTGCAAAAATGTGTCATGACTTTTCCAACAACCCAATATGTTATACTGATTTTGTCGCATCTACAACAATCCTGGACGCCTGCCATGCCATTGGTCTGGGTGGGCCTGGCCATCCAGTGTTAAGTAAAGATTACACCAAGAACGATTCTGGTGTGCAGCCAGGACTGGGGTCCTCACTCTGTCCTCCTGCCACATGAGGATGCAGGAGCCCACAGTGGCGGGTAGCTTGCCGCCATGTAAGGGCCCAGAGTGGGGACCCCAAGCTGAGTCTCCTGGCTGACCCTGTGACCCTCGTCCTATCACCCTCAGAGCACAGTCGTGAAGGGAAGGCCCGGGGCCACCATGAACTTGGAGAGGTGGGTGTGGGCACGCAGACCACCCTGTCCACACCGGGCCAGGAGGAAGTGCAGCTGCTCTGTCGCTGCTCCAGCCACTCCTGCCCCCGCTAGGCGATGTGACTGTGTGTGTGTGTGTGTGTGTGTGTGTGTGTGTGTGTGTGTGGCTCCGGCCGCATGTAGGGTGCTCACCCGGCTTGCACATGGTGAACTCCATTGCGCCCCCAGAGTTGAGCAGCTTCTGGACCAGCGCCTTGGCCAGCATGGTGGGCGTGAAGAGCACAGGCCTGCGCCGCTCACAGTGGAAGGCACGCACCAGGCTGTAGGGGATCAAGCTGAGGCTCTTGCTGAGCTCGCTCTCGGGGTCCAGCTCTGGGAGGGACAGGAGAGGCCTGGCTGTGACACCCCTGCCTCTCGGCACTCCCTGCCCGGAGGGCCCGTGGTGGCAGGAGGCAGACAAGCAGCGCGTAACAAACATAAAGTCCGGTCACTTCAGAAGACGCTGAGCTCTGACGAGGGGTCTGGGGCAGGCTGGGCAGGGACGGCTGCCCTGAGCAGGAGCTCGGACAGTGAGGAGAGTGGCCTAGGCAGAGGGAGAGTGAGGGGACAGCAGGAGCCCTCGAGGTGGCAGGGCCGGCCAGGAGCAGCTTGTGGCTCACTGCAGGGGCCCTGGGAAGGCTCTAGGGCCGAGGCAGGGAATGACGTGGCCTCATTTCCACCTTCTCAATCCTCCCTGGCGGGTGTGTAGGAGTCCCAGCAGCTGAAGGAACTGTCTCCCCAGAAACCAGAGGCCTGTCATTTACTTTGCCCCTGGCCTGGCTATCCCCACTCCTGAAGCCCAGGCCCTCCTCTGGCCATCAGTTCTCTGTGCAATGGTGGCGCCTCGCCGGCTTGATAAATGGCCAGAGCACGCACTGGTGAGAGAAATCGATCAGCAAACACTCCACAGCAAACAGCTCCAATTAACACGTGTATGGGCTCAAACCAGCTCCAGTGGGCATTGGCGGGATGCCACGCCTGGGGCTGTGTGCCGCCCCCCCCCCCGGCCAAGTCCTCCCCAGGTGGTACCCTGTTTTGAGGGAGCAGATGTCCCAGGCCTCCTCACAGGACCCAAGGCCACCGGGGCTGTGGAGGCCCTGTGGTCAGCGCCCTACCTTCCTGCCTGTCGGTCAGGAGCTTGGTGGCGTCCAGTGAGGGCCTGGCCAGGCCGCCCCTCGGGCTCCCGGGCACGATGCGAACCCGCTCGTTGCTGTTCATCCGCTTGTACTTGTTCTCTGACCTGCTGACGAACTGGAGGACAGAGGGGCGGACACAGCTGTTGTGCCCGCTTTGTGTCTAACCCGACCGAGCTGCCTTGACCTGGACCCGGGCAGACTTCTGCTCAGGTCCCAGCTCTGCCCAGGGCCTGGGTTGTAACTTCCCCTGTGAAAACAGGAGGTACCTAGCAGGTTGCGTGGGTCTTTCAGCTGTTTGGGTGTCGTTAGGTAACCAAGTGGACAAACACCGTGCTTTCCCACCCAGACATGGGGCCTGCAGGGGCTAGTCCTGAAAGGCCTCCCAAGACCCCTCCTGCCATGCCCCCTACCTTCCTGGGGAACCATAGGTGCAGCCCCTGCGGGCACGGTGAGACCTGGAGTGCCCAGCCGCTGAAGGCCCTGGATGGGAGCCCCCACTGGCAGGACAGCCCAGGTGGCCCACCCGGTGGGCGTGGGCAGGACTTCATCTCCCAGGACACTGCTCTCCATGCCCCCTGCCTTGGTACCCCTGACTCTTCTGGGGGAGTGCCTGCTCCCTTCTATAGTTCAGAGATGAGTCCTGGAGGGCGGAAAGGGACGTCCCAGCAGTGGACACAGAAGCCAGGTTCCCACCATATTCCCTGGGGCCCTCGGTGTGTCCACATGCTCCTTCCGCAGGGAGAAGACCCAGGGAGCCGGCATCTCGGGCCGGCTGTTAGCTGGCCCTTGGGTGAGCCGCCCAGGTGCTCAGGCTTTGGACTGCTGCATGACATGTGGCCAGACTGCGTGGTCTCGGGCGGTCCTGCCCTCAGGAGCCCTGCAGGCTTCAGCAGGTTCCCTTCCACCTGTGTCTTCCTGCTGCCTGTTTGCATCTGCCTGAGTTTTTGGGTCTCACCATTAACTATCTCTGGGTTTCCTCTGTTCCAACATCAGGACAAAGCAGTGGAGTGACACACTTAACTCCACGGGGACCTAATTAGCACAGTATCTACACAGGAACTTCCTCACAGGGTCACATCTTAATATCACTCCCTCAGCTTTCGTTAGCTCATGACAGAGGGGTGGCCACAACAGGATGCGTTCACAGTCTTTATGTGGCGTCGCTACTGCAGCTCTCCTCCACCACGCTACTCGGAGCTCCCTGGCTCATGGTCCACGAAAAAAGATTCCTTTTAGAATTAAGGATAAGGGAAGATTCTTTTGGTCCCAAAGAGCTGAAATGTTTTGGTGGTTAGATAAGATTTACAGACTCTGCTGGGATTTCCTTTTTTCCTTGGCTGCTGGGATGCTCAGAGATAAATGTAAAGCTCAATTCGAGGGACTAAACCAAGCCAGACATCTGAAATGCTTTTCTCCCTTTCCTGACATACTGTTTCTGATTTTCCTATTAATATTTTAACAGCTGGGTTAAGTGTCTTTCAGACACAAGTTTCTTCATATTTTTTATGAAAGCAGGGTTTGCTTCCAACAGGCGCAGAGACTGTCTACTGACCTGTCACTGGGAGGAAAAACGGGACGGGAGAGGAGAGACGCCGTGTGGAGGAGCATGAGGCGTGCTCGTATTTTGATACAGCCTCTCCTCTAGGTAGGGCGAGGGCAGAGCCGCAGAAAATGTGATTGCAAAGTCGCGAGTCGCTCTGAAGGGCTTTACCTGAAGGAGCTGGCCAAAGAGGAAGCTTGCTCGGGAGAGGCGGGGGCTGACCCGGGGGTCACTGGTGGAAAGTGTTTCTTCAGGCTGTAGGGTGTTCTGAAATCAGTTTATCCATCAGTCAGAACCACTGCGCTCGGCAGGACATGCGAGAGGCACTGAGAACCAGAGATGTGTCCCCAACCAAGTCCCTCCGTACTAAAGGGGGAGATGTGCCAGTCATGGGAGCAAGTGTTCCGGGGGCGTGTGTGGGTGTGCGGGGAGCACAGCTCAGAAGGGTAGAGGCGCCCAAGGCTTATTCTCACAGACGAGAGAGCAGACAGGACGCCCCCGTCCCAGCTGGACCGAGAGCCCTGGCTCAGCCATCACCGTCCCCTTTAAAGTCAGGAGCTGGGGAGGGCGCAGAGGGTGGGCTCCTCTGGAGGGGGTATCCCATTCCTGAGAACCAAGTCCCCAGTCACCCTTCACCCCAATGCAATTAATGACTCCCGTTGGTGATCCCTTCAAAAAAGACCCGGAGGAGGTTTGAGGTGGGTGGGGCCTCTGGTGACCTACCCGGAGTGCCCTCAGGGTGTGGTGTGTGGTGTCGGCCTCCTCCCGGCTGCCCCGGTGCATCAGACGCTGCAGCTTGACCAGGAGGAGTTGCTGGGCTCTGGGCAGGCAAGAGGGTTGGGTGGAGCTCAGGGCTGGGGCACTGCCCAGGGCCAGCCCCGGGCAGGGGGCCCTGTGCAGCTGTGAGGTCTGAGCCCCTGGGCACTGGGGAGAACACGGAGCCTTGGGCCTGAGTCCTGCCCCCAGCGCTGACTCATCACCACAGGAGGCAAAGTCCCTTCTGTGAGCCTCAGTTTCCTCATCTGTAAACGGGATCTCCCTGTGCTGTCTTTGCAGGGCTGGCCTGAGCAGAGGTGTTAGGGTCTATAGCTGCCACACGGATGCCTGTGCGTCTGACCAGGGGGACGCTGAGGCTCAGCCCGGAGTAGTTATGTGTAATTATGGAACTGAGCGCCAGGCTGTACGGGAATGACACAGAGAGGGTGTGGTGGGATTGAGTGAGAGCAACACCCTGGGGAGGCAGGGAAGGCTTCCAGGAGGCAGCGGGGATGGGGTCCTCACTGCTGAACAGGCAGCCCCGTGGCTGACTGCCCGGCTCCCAGCCCTGTCCAGGTCCCGGCCTCACCGGCTGTAGCTGGGTATGGTGCCCATGTCCAGGTCGTAGTCCATGAAAGGGTCGACCCGTGCGCATAGCCACTCATGCCTGTCCTGGTACATGGTGTCACGGACATGCACAACGTCGTCGCACTTCAGGGACATGGAACAGGCGTCCAGCTGGCTGGAGATGTTCAGGTTCAGCCGGATGTAGAAGGAGTCGCCAGAGGTGATCAGGCCCTCCTCCATGTCCTTCAGCAGCTTCCGGTACCCTGTGGACAGACAGGAGGTAAAAGTGGCACCAGCCATCGGTGGGGAAGGGCGTCCCACTGCCGAGTCCCCTGGCCACTACCCCCAGATAACACAGCCAGTGATTCCTGCTGGAGCCGGTGGCCAGGGAAACGCTGTCCTCCCCAGTGAATCAGTAGCTGTGTCGTTCATGGTTTTCCTCTTTGTCTCGGCTGCCAAGCAGCTCAGAGTCACATTCTGTGCCACGTCCCAACAAATCTATCTGTGCTGCCATCTCCACATCTCCCTAGCTACACGATACTTATATTTTCATTTCTCCCTTTAATCGGTGCATCACGTACATACAGTAAACGGCATCATTCTTCAGTACTCAGCTTGATGAATTTCCACAAAGGATACACGTGGGCAAGCACCACTCAGACGTCTCAGGACCCTTCCTGGGGCGCAGCTAGCCTATCGCACAAGGCCAGCTGTGCCTCGCTGCACATAAACGGGAGCAAACAGTAGGCGCTCCGGCGTGTCTGCTTCTATTGCTCAACACGATGTCTGAGAGTCACCACGACACCGCAGCGTGGTGCCTTGCGTTCCTTTTCACTGCTGTATAGTACTCCACAGTGCCGATTTCTCCTTTCTCACGTGCACATTTGTGCTGTTGCCAGTTTTCGGCGATTATGGATAACTCTGCTCTAAACATTGGGTGTGCGCAGAGACGTGGAATTATCAGGTCACTGGTTGTGTATACAGTTCGCCTTCGTAATGCTGCCTCGTGGTTTTCCAAAGCGGTAGGACTGTGGTGTGGGCTGTTTTAACCTTATTTAACACCATCGTCCTTTAGTTAAACTTTGACAGATCCCTTTGGATAAATCACGAACACAACAAATGCTGCAAAGTCAATGTCTGTGACACAAATCCGTATCATTCCCCAAATCAGCCCCACGTGCAGAGCTGCGTGACACAGTGGAAGCTCAAATGGTGCTAAGGGCCAGGCCCAGGATCCGCTCGTCGGACGTCCACACCACAGGTGCAGGGAGATCTGAGCCAGCGGGGTGGTCTGATCATGTTCATGGAGAAACGGGGGACTCCTGGTCAGGTCCCTCCCACCCCCTGGGTCGTGTTAACGCTCACCACTATCTGAGCTCTCTGTCACCTGAAAGGAGAGGCCCTACAGGCCACCTCTGGGGCCCTGCCGGAGGGAGCCTTGGTTTCAGTGAATTCCAGGGGTGACGCATCTGCACAGCTCTGGGGGGGCCCCGCTCACACTGCGTTCTGTGGCTCCGCTCGCTTGTGGGCAGGGCGCCGCCCAGAGACTTTCTGCTGGGCTGAAAGGGGAGGCGCCTGCCCCTGTGAGGAGGAGGGGCCCTTTGTTGGGGACAGAACATCATTATCACCTTCCTCATGACCGGGCACTGCCAGAAAGGAACACGGGTGGGCAGGCAGCAGTGGGGAACAGCTAGAGGAAAGTGGCTATTTATGCTGTTGAAACATTCATGAGCCCTGGTGGTTAGAAATAAGATCCAGCTGCAGAGATAATCATGCAGGAAAAAACCCAGAGGTGAGAAGGAGAATGCAGGCTGTGGAAATGGAGGACAAAGCTCATTGCCGCTCAGCAGTCCCGGCCAAGGAAGGGGAGACTCGATGAACAAGCTGCTGGGGGCCAGACCAGAAGGTGGGGACAGGCCTGGCTGTCCTGAACAGACAGCCTGGCCCTCAGTGCGGTTCAATAGCCCTGCTTGTGCCACGGCGGCCACCCCACAGCCGCTGCTGATGTCAGGGCTGGGAAGCCCGACAGGGGAGGCAAGCTTCAACCCGGCAGGGAGAGGGTGAGCTGGGCCAGGCGGCGACGCGGCCATCGGCTGGGGGCCCTTGCCTCTCCTGCCGGGTCTGGCAACCTGCTGCCTCTACCGTGAGCCAGGCGGACAGCCAGGCGTGTGCCAGGGCAGGCGTGTGCTTGCACGTGTCTGTGCCCTTCCCCGCCTGCCCCATCACGTCCTCCTGACAGGGCTGGACTGGCTTCTGCCTCCCACTGAACAGGTGAGCAAGCAGAGGAACTGTCCAGGCCCCCATCACCGCCCCCCACCCCAGCTCTGGTGTCCTGCTGGCCACGGTCATGCAGGGGGCCTGGGGGCGGGCCTCACCTTCCTGGTTGACTTTGTAGTGCAGTGTGACGGGGCCACTGCACCTGTGGATGGTCCAGTGTGCCTCCTCCTTCGTGCTCGTCTCCAAGGGGACACTCTGCCTCTCGCCTTTGATGCAGCCTTCTAGCTAGAGAGCAAAGACATTGTTCCTCGGGCTCTGTGGGTGAGACCGTTCATTCCACAGGAAATTAAAGCACCTGCCCCCAACACCGACGAGCTCAGCGCATGCCACTTGAACGGGCCGTCTGCCACCCAGAGCACACGTGTATACTTGTGCACAGGCTTAGAAGCAAGTGAGGGGTTGTGGAGAGCAGTATGGACAGGGACTTCTGGGGAGGCACTGCCACCTTCCAGCTCCCTCCACCTGGCCAGACATCCCAGCTCAATGCCAGGCTAGGGGGCAGAGGACGCAGGTACAGGCAGGGCACTTGGGCGGTGCTGCCCCTCCCCCCCCCAGCCCCCGGCCCCTCACCAGCAGCAACTGGTGGCCCTCGTGGAGGCCTGCCTTCTCGGCCAGGGAGCCCAGCTTGACCGAGTGGATGAAGCACCCTCGCGCGTTGCCCCCGATCAGGGTGAGCTGGGAGATGAGGCTGTCGCCGGTCAGTGTGGTGTGCTGCACCGAGGGCCCGGGACCCCGCACGTGCCCCACGGACGTGACAGATGGCCGGAAGGGTCTGGGTCAGGAAATAAACAGGAGTCAGGCAGCTGGAGTCGGGACACCTCTACCAGGACATGCCAGAGGGCAGGCCCCACCCACGTGCAGCCTCCTGGGCTGTCAGCTGCCCTGGGAGCTGCAATAGCAGCAACTGTGAGAGACAGCTGGCAACTGGCTCCTGCTGTGGAAACAGACAAGCAGCTGAGCTGCCCTCCTGGTCAACAGGACACGCTAGCTGGGAGACCTGAGGTCGCACGTGGGGCCCGATCCTGGCATCAGATACCCTTCGGTGTGTCACCGGCGGGGCCACCCTGACACTAGAGTCCTGCTTTCCTGCCAAGCTGTGTGGCCCCGGGCAAGTCCTATCCTTTCTGGGCCCGACTGCAGGTCAGGGGAAGTGACTGCTGACTCTGGGATGCTCAGAGTCCCGGGTTCTCGGGGAGGTCAGAGTGACGGTGATGGCCTCCTTTGTGGGGGATTTGGGCAGTGAGCCGCCTTACCCCGTCCCTGCCCCACCCCAGCCTCCCCTGTCCCACAACCACAGTACCTTTCTAGCGAGAACTTCCTAAACATGAGGTTGACCTGCTCCAGGTCATAGGCGTCCAGGCCCTCGGACTGGTGGGAAGAGGAGGAGGAGTGGATGGAGGGGGGTCCAAAGGAGTACCGCTCGTGACTGTCATCTGCAAAGGAGCGGGGGACCCTCAGGACCCAGGAGCCGTCGGCGGCCCCTGGACTCGCTGGGTGGCCCAGGGAGGTCAGTCAGGCCCTGGGCCCAGACTGGGGAACCTTCTCCTGGGCAGGGAAGCTTGGAGAAGGGGGCGGCATCAGTCAGCCGTCCCTAAGGCCCCCGGGGGCACAGGGTCCAGTCCCTGCACCCCCTTTCATAGAGCCACTCCCATCCCCAGGAGCCCCTCTTCATAGGAAGCTGGCTAGCTATCTGGTTCCTAAGGATCCATTTTTTGTTTCTGGAAAAGGGGGCTTCTGTTAGCAGCTGCTAGTTTTATTTTTGAATTGGGGTCTGTGTTTTCATTTTGGGGCCATCTGAGGCCTCACCACCATCCACCAGCTTCCCGGCCTGTGGGGTTGGGGCGTAGCAGGCATTGCAGAGTCCGGACCGGTACAAAAGCCCCTCTTCCCAACTCAGCGGGGCCCCGAGGACCCGGGGGAAAGAGGCCCACTGCACACAGCTCAGGCTGGAGGCGCTGCAAACCCTGCTCTGGGCTGATAAGAGGCGCCTCTGCAAAGGGAGCTTGTCCCGACGCTGCAGAGCGCTTTGGACGGCTGCCCAGAATTCTTTCCAGCTCTCCCCTTCCCAAACTCCTTCAATTCTTCTCATTACCCAGCCTCCATTAGGTGCTAACCTCTCTTTAACACTTGATAGCTTCTGATGGCCCCCAATTAAGGAGAGCCACTAATCTTTCATTTTATCTGCTGGCAGCCTCAGCTGGCAGGAGTAGAGGCAGGGTGGGGGAGGCAGGCTCTGTGCTGCCAGCTCTGTAGGGGCCAGGGACACTGCCACCACCCCAAGGCGCCCAGCTATCTCCTGAGAGGCCTGAGCCCTTCCCGCTGTCACTGCTGCCCATCCAGTCAGGTGCTCCAGGTCTGTAAATCTGCCCTGGTCATGCCCACTGCCCACAGCTATACCACAAGGCTCTGCCATGGCAAGGCCTCGGGACATGCGTCTCAGTGTCTCATGCACGTGCAGCAGAACCTGGAGAAGTGTGGGGGCTCCACATGTGCCGGGCTGAACCGGACCTCCTGGCTGTAAGGGGCGGGGGCTGGTGCCGCACACACACTGCCCCTGAGATGGGGCCTCCATTCCTAGCTCCCTGCGTGCACATTCTGGGCTAAGGGAATATCCCCGGGTCACACCAGCTCTGCCCGAGGGAGACTTCATACTTGGTCTCCCCACTGCTCGCCGGTCCCACATCCATCCCCATCTCATGGGGCGAGAAACAGCCGTCATTGCCACCCCAGTTCCAGCCTCGTCCTCCCCACTGCTGCGTGTCTTGTTCAGGCTGGTTAACAGCTTAGTAATGGGTCTGGGAGAGGTCTCCCTGCATTCAGGCCGCCTTCCACCCGACCGTTCCTCCGTCTCTAAGACTGTTTGTTGTTCTGCACAATGGGGGCAATACTTTTTCTGCAAAGTTGTTGAGAATCCATTAAACTGGATCAGGCACACAGGGCAAGCACTTCCATGGTGCTTGTCTACGATCGTGAGATATATCTTCTCTAATGTGGACGCACGTGCAGCAGCTGGGGGGTCCTCACTGTGTATGACAAAGGACTGGGTCCTCTGGGTGCCTGCCTCCAGCCCCAGGCAGCTCACAGCGGCCGGCCTTCCGTGCGCAGACAGCACCGACCACTGCCGTCTCGGGACCCATTCCACACGCATTTCCTGAGGACCTGCTGTGCGCAGGGCTCCATCCCAGGTTGGGGTGTGAGTGACATGGCTGTGTCCTGGCTGAATGTCACCTGAAGTCTTTCTGATCTGCTGGGTACCTACCATCGAGGTCTAAGGCATCAAACCCACCGCTGTCGTTGTCTTCTTCAAGTGTGCTATAAGACATGGGGGAGAACACATGTGTGTGAGAGGGGGCTAAGGGGAGGGGAGCTTCCAGAGCGGGCAGGATGGACGGGAGCGGATGGTCAGCAGGTGTGGGGAGGCCTATGGGCCAAGGCGGGGCTGGATGAGGCTGGACGCTCTGCTGGGAGCCGTGTTGGCCAGTGTGTGGAGGGACATGAAGAGCAGGTGGTAGGGTCACCGACACCCCCACGCACGCTCTCTCATTCACTCTTCTCTGAAACAGAGGACTTAACATCCGCAGGCTCAGATGGGCTGCCCTGTGTGATGGGCCTGACACAGCTGAGCACCCCCCCCACAGCCAGGACCGGAAGGGACTGAGCTGTCAGCGTGTCCCCAGAGGTCTACATTGTCCATGTGTGGCTTCAAGACCCACACCTGGCCCTTGGCAGGACTGCAGCTGTGGCCCAGCCCTGCCAGCCACACCCTTCTCGGCCCTTCGGAAACCACCCAAAGTGTCAAGACTTTGAATGTGACGTGCCAAACATCTGGCTGATTGGAAACATCTGGATGCCCAGGCATAACTCTCCTGTGGTTTTCCTTGTTGGGGACACTGATGGTTTCTGAGAGGTGAGGAAGGGGGAGAGGGAGCAGGAGTTGGGGAATCATTCATGGGTCTCTCAGTCTCTAGCAGAAGAAGCTGAGCTCCAGGGCCTTGGGACAGAGGGACTTGACTTCTGGGAAGCATGGAGCAAAGTGACATCGGTTTCGTCATTTGACTCTGGGAAAGCATGTTCTGTCTCTGAGCCTGAGCCTCCTCATCTGTAGAATGGGTACTATCCTGACTCCCTTTCCAGGCGGCCTCAAGGACAGCTGAGGGAGTGAGTATCGAGCAGCACATGCAGGCACCAGGCAAAGGTCCCGCATCCTCCCACTACCTGTCACCCACCTCCGATGAGGTGCGTCTTCCTTGTAGCGTCTGACAATGGAGTCGTTTCCTGGGGGCTCGGCAGTGATTGACATGATGCTGGAACGGCTCCGATGGGGCTGCTTCAGATGCACACACAGGAGTGTTACGGGCTGGATATTTATATGCCCGTGCCTCGAGGGCATAAATATTATATACACAGGGACTAAATTTAACTCGGATGTGTCCCCGCCTGGTGCAGGAGTGGGGGTTGGCAAGCTGGCTCTCAGTGTGACCTTGGCAGGAGTAGGCTCGCTCAGCCTGGGGCAGCCGAGCTGGGTGCACATCTGCTCGCACATCTGCTGCCTCAGGAGGGGGGCGGGGAGGACAGAGGCGGGAATGGCCGAGGCTCAGAAACCAAGGCGGTGCCTTGTGCTCTGCACAGGCTGAGCTCCATGTCCCCTGGCTGTGCCGGCCTTGGGCACCGGCTCTGGACCCTATGAAGGCCTGGTGTGTGTGTGTGTGTGTGTGTGTGTGTGTGTGTGTGGGTGATGGAAGCCCTCAAATAGCATGGGGGCTAGAGGGTGAACTTTTCAAACAGGCCTGCTGGCTCCTGGCAAGGACTGCCTTAAATAAGAGCCTGGATTTCACCCCCTACCCCCCAGAGCTGCAACCAGACAAGAGTTATGGTATCTCTGTGGCCCCAGGGCCTGATTTTGGAAGCTGAGTTGACAAGTTTCCCAAGGCTTCCCTCAGGGTTAGAATTGCTAATCCCAAGCCTTGTGCTGCCTGGCTGGGGGGCTGCGGGGAGTGACACTGGATGCAGTGGCTGAGGCCCTGGCTGGCCCTGCCCAGGTGGGCTGGAGCTAAGGGAGGTCAGGGCTGGGGCAGAGGGCACTGAACCTTTGCTCTGTGGCACCTGCGGCTCTAGCTGCTCTGGGCCCAGGCCCCCGCCCCCCTTCCCCAGGCTGCCGGAGTTGCCAGGGGCTGAGAAGTTGCAGCAGAATTTTCCGCCGCCTGTGCAATTCGCTACAGCCCCTTGGAGGCCCATCTCTTCCTCCCACCAAGTGTTAAATTGGGAAAGGAGGAGGCAAGAAGGTGTAAATACATCATGAGGCTGTGGAAACATCTTTAAATAAACATAAGGACGGCCTGGGCTGCAGCCCCAGAAGAGGAGTGATGCTGCCACAGGCCCGGCTTGGAGAGGAAAGGAAGGGCCGGGGCCTTGGGGGGAATGTGGGTTGGGGGGGGGCTGGTGGGGACCACGCTTACCATCTTGGAGAATGAGGTGGTGATGGGCAGGGACCGGGAGGAGCTGGGGCTGGCGTCCATGCCTTCTTCTTCCTGTCCTCTCCCTGTCCTCATCCGGACGGGGCAGGAGAGGCAAAGAGGGAAAGGGGACGGGGAATTGAGAGCCCCGCAGCACTGAGCCCCGGGCTGTCCTGTCCGGGTGGCTCGGCCTCCTGTCTCCCGTGGGGACTTGCTCCGTCTCAATTCCCATCCAGTGCAGGCTCCTGGAGGGGAGCCTGGTCTTGTCCACCAACACGCTCCCGCCCCCAGCCAGCCAGGCCCAGGGGGGCCTCAGCCAAGGTCCCCAGCCGGCACTCTTTGGGGGGACACGTGTCGTGGAGCAGGAATGTCCCCCGTCCTCCACACAGAGCCCATGGCCCCTACTGAACAGGGCCGGCTGACCAGGGTGCGGGGCTAACGGGGGCGCCCCTCTCGCTCTTTCAGGACGGGCCGGGGCCCTGTTCTGAGCTGTGAGCTCTCCCATCTGTGTCCCGCCGGGCTGTGCGTGGGCAGGCAGATGGACGCACGCACGCACCCTAGCCCGTGGGCTTTTGGAGGGGACGGGCCACACGCTGCAGTGCCCTGGCCCCCAGCACCTCGCGCTGGGCAGCCGCAGAGGCTTGTGGAGGGGCCGAGAAGCTCCCGCTCCCTCTTCTTGGGGCAAACACTCTCTGTCCTTCCCATAGGCCCTTATGTTTCCCTTCTGATAAAGAAGGTCCTCGAAACACCCAATCTGGCCACGGGGATGTGAACAGGTGCCCTGCTCTGGGCTCCGTCTTCCCCAGGTGCCCGTCCTCCGGAGAGTGGCCTACAGCCCAGCTATGGAATCCTCGGTCCCCCGCCCGCCTCATGGCCCCTAGGAGGCATGAGGTCGATGCCTCAGGCCCGTCCGCCTGCCCCGCCAGCCTCTGCAGTCACTCCCAGCACCCCCGCCCCCCGGCACAGTGTGGGGCTCCACGCCCGGCTCTGCTCCCCACTCTGTCCTGGGTCCCCTCTGAAGACTCTGTCCACTGGCAGAGAGTCTCCCTTTTCCAGGCCCCCTTCTTGATGGGTCTAACACCCCCTTCTTGATGGGTCCCCCCAACCTTCCTCCAAGCTCTCTCCCGGGTGGGAGCACGTCCCACCTCTCACTGACGGCCCTGAGTACACGGGCCCCACAAGCGTTCACTTGGGCCTGCTGGCACCTGGCACTCCGTAGGTGTTTGATTCACCTGGGCAAACCTGCGCTAGCCAGTCGCCACGCCAGGGTCACAGTGAGGACCAGGGAGAGGAATTCTGAAGGCAGTGTGTCTTGCAGAGCCAGGGGTTCATGGACGGACCATAGCCCCCTGCTCCCGGGACTGCCGGCCAAAACTGTGGGAGGAAGGTCGAGCAGTTGCCCGGCTGACCAGCCATGAGCAGGAACTCCAAGTTCAGCTTAAGTACTGGGGGCTCCGGACGGGCCGACAGGGAGGCGCGGCGGGCGGGGCGGAGGGAACCATGGATGTGACGTGCCTGCAGTCACAGCCCCTGCCCTCTCCGGTGATGAAGAACATTAATTACCATATAGATCCCCCCTGACTGGGGCACCAAGGCCTCCTCAGTTTACCCTGCAGGGGTGGTCGTCACAGTGGGAGACACAGATGAATGGAGAGTGTCAGAGTGACAGACAGGGAGGGAACCCGGGCGTCTCACTAACCTTGAAAATCTGATGTTTGCTTCAGGCTGATGGGGGATTTGGCTCTCTGCAGCTGAAAGGGAGGGGGAAACAAAAGACAGAGGACACAAATCAAACAAGTCCTGAGACACATGTCACTGGAGCGATGGAAATAAGTAAGTGGAGGTGGGCCCACGCTGTCCCTTGTCACGTGGCCGCCGGAATCACAGAAGCCACACGACGCCCATCTCGGGGGTTCCCCGGGGCTGGCGCGGCAGCTGCTGGTGCCGACAAGCTCTCCCTCGGGAGGCCGTGTGACGTGGCTCAGACAGTGTGAGGGGCCCAGAGTGGCAGAGGGGAGGGGTGTGTGCGGGAGTGCGAGGCTGAGCAGAACCGGCACACGACGCGGGGGAATTTTCAGGAACGGACGAGGCTTTGAGGCAGCTGTCCTGGCCACACACGGCACGAGGGGCGAGCAGTTCCCCGTTGGTGTCCAATGTGCTGCCTCTGGCTCCATGTGTGCAGGGCGGGGTGGGGGCAGGGAGCAGGGGCCCCGTCAGCCCTGGTGGTCACGGCCTGTCACGTGAGACCGTCTCACCTACTCACTCCCCATCTAGTCAGCCGTGTGCCATGGACACTGAGCAAAGCAGACAGGATTGCTGCGGGAGCCCAGCTCCCCGAATGGTGCCCAACACAGCCATTCTCTTAGCTGACATGTGAACAAACAAATGAATTTGGAAAAATGCTTATTTCATATTCTCTCTCTCTCCCCCTCTCCTACTATATTTAGAAGAAACAAGAGAATTGATCAAAACAAACAAGTAAAAAGCTTGCGCTGCCACAGTCTCCATTGACAGGGCTGGAGCAGGTGAGGCCTGTCTGGGCCTGAGAGCCGCAGCGTGTGGCTGTGCAGCGTCCTGGCCGGCCTGCCCGTCGGGCTAGCCCCGCCCCCAGCCGCAGGCAAGTACCTGGATGCCCTTCAGGTTCATCCTGCGCTTGGGCGGGTGGTACGGCAGGAAGTATCTGCTGTCTTCCGGCGACTCCTCTGAGGTGGAAGAATCATCAGCCTCCTGCCCGTTGGTCCTGGGGCCGGCGTCCCCAAAGCTCTGAGAGATGATGGTCACTGGCAGGTTCCTGGGCAGGCTCTGGAGACAAAGAGAAGCCGGAGCCAGTGATGGAGCGTGAGGAGCAGCCTGCAGGCGGAGAAATGGCTCTGCGAATGGCACCATCCTCCGTGGGCACCCAAGCCTGCAACGCAGGACGGCCTCTCCCCTGACCCCGCGGCCACCCCCACACCAAGGCTATCATTCCAGCTCTAGTCTCTCCTCATGAGCCTCTGTCCCCGTCTCCCTCTGGCCAGGGACCTGCAGCACACCCTCGTGTCCTTAGTAAACGGACTGCCACCGGGCTGGTGTTGGCCCCTTAGATCTGACAGGCCATCATCCTATTCCCAATCTCCAGCCCGAGGCCTAGGCTACAAACGTAAGTACTGCTGAGTGACAGAATCATGATACAAACGGCGCGGACACTGTCCTCAGTACTCTAGATCCATCGTTGGAAGCTGAGAGGCAACAATATTAAGTAACTCCCACGGCCCCCCAGAGCTACACAGACACAGCACCCTCATGCTGCACGGCCTCTGCCCTGCTTCCTGGCACAAATCCTTAGGGTCCCAGAACAGCCGACCTCACAGGTCCCGAGGTCCCTACCGGCTTGCTCCCTCCTGCCTGTCCCCCCCTCCCACTCCACGGATGACAGAACCGCGAGCCCTGGCTGCCGACAGCAGGCCCTGGGGCCCCATCTTTCGCTCATACATTCAGCAGATGCTCCTGAGGGTCTACCCTGCGCCAGGCACCGTGCCCGGTGCTGGGCAAACGGGGGGCCTTCCGGAAGCTCCTGCCCGAGCACAAAATGCTGGAAAGGCTGAGCCCATAACACAGATGCTCCTGGTTTCCACTATGGGGCCCGCGAAGGCTGAGCCCAGAGGGGCAGGACTCGGCCAGGTGAGGTTGGGGGCAGCGTTCCAAGTGGAGGTCCTGAGGAAATCAAAGGCTCCTCTTGTAGGAGTCCTTCCCAAAACCCTGGGGAGTGCGCCCCCGCCCCCCACAGCGCCCCTTCAGTGTAATTTACAACACTGTTGAAATGCCACGTTCCTGGATTTCCCTCCAGTGCTTCATGTGAGCTCTGAGGGGAGGGGGAATGTCTCAGACTGGCTTCCCCAGGCCACCGACCAGTGGCCTCAGGCAAGCTACTCGGCTGCTTGTGTCTGGGTTACTTCCTTCGTAAATGAGGACAGTAATCGGACCTTCCTGGCAGGACAGTCCTGTGGGTTAAATGAGACCACGCGCAGAACGCACTCAGCAGCGTGCCTGCACACGACAGCACTCAAACCCATGACTGCACAATAGAATCACCTGCTTTGACGGCTGTGTTCACTCATTTCTGAGTGCCTGAGCCCTGCTGTGACACCTGCTGTGAACTTCCTGCCCATAAATGAGCTTCCTTATAGGTTTAATGGAAACAGGGCATCTCAAACCTGGTGGCCGTCCAGATGGTGGGGGGGGGGACCCCAATGGGAGGCCAGTTGGCCAGCTGTGATCGGCTGAGAAAGGAGCTGACGCTACTTGGTGAAGTGACCTGAGTGACATTGCCCAGCAAGCGGCCAAACCAGGGGTTTCTCCTGCGTTTTCTAACTTCTAAGTTAATAGTTTCTACTCATCACTACACAGACAAACAGAAGGTTCAAGGACATGGACCGCTGTGGGTGTGGTAGGAAGGGTGGGATTCTGGCTTCAAATGTTTGAAGAGCCACCATAGTGAGGTGGGGACCCAGGTGCCACCTGGGTGTTGGGACGGCCCGGGTCCGGGGGGGGGCCGCGCCCAGCTCGCCCCACCTGGTCGAGGCTGCCGCTGTCCCGGGAGAGGCGCCGGAGCTTGCTCTCCAGGTTGACGATGCAGGCTTCCCGCCGGACCATCTCGATCCTCATCTCGTCGTTCTTCTCCTCCAGCTCACGGATCTGCTTCCTGTACTTGTCCTTCTCAATCAAGCACTGTGCGTACTGGGTCTGGGCGTCGTCCCGGGAATGGAAGGCCTGCCGTGGAGGAGGACAAGGCCACTTAGCTCTCACCCTGAGCAAAGCAGATCAGATCCGGGACAGGGCCCCGCCCAGACACCCACTGCCCAGCCCAGGCGTCAGCGGCACCATTGCCCGCTCTTTCCTTGACGCCCACTCCTGCGCGCCAGTCACCATCAACCCGCGCCACAGCTGCCGTCTGCCCAGCCCCCGCCACGAGCCAGGCACCGTGCCCAGAGGTCTGGTGCAGTGTCTCGTTATTGCTGTTACTCTTCTTCCCACTTTACGGATGGGGTCACGGAGGCTGCCGGGGGTGGGGCAGCTTGCCTGCAGTCACACACTGACGCGTGGCAGGGCCTGCCTGTGGCTGCCTTACTCTAGAGACCACACTGTCACATGCACTGTTGGAGTTCAGCTCAGGCCCATAGTTTTCAAATGCCTGTGAATTACGGATGGAAGTTTGGATGGAACTCATCTTGAAATGACAATGGAGAAGCCGGATTCACGAGTAACCCCTGGTACCAACACGACGCCGGGCGAAGCGCCTACCTGGTCGCGCTCCCGCTCCACCTCCTCCAGCTGCAGCATGACCGTGTTCATGCGGTGCTTGTACATTTCGCAGTCCTTCCCCAGGGTTGAGCACTTCAGCTCCAGGTCCTCCTTCCCCTCCAGGTACTGCGGGCCACAGGGGGAAATCCGCACACGTGGCAGGTCACCCACTGGTCAGGGCGGGTGGCGGGTTTCTGGTGCCTTTCTGCTGGCCGGCCGGTCAGAGCTGGCCCGTCCCTCCCTACATCGCCTGTCCTTCCGAGACCCAGCTGTTTAACTAGCAGGGACCACGGTAGCGGGCCAGTCAACTAACTGACATTGCTTCAGACCTACTATGTGCCAAGAAACATAGTGGGGGACAGCGTCGACACTGTGTGTGTCATCCTGTGGCCTTCAGTCAGGAGGGGAAGACAGTCATTGACAAACGACTACAAGGGTGCGGATGCTGGAAGTGCAGGGAGTTTACGCCAGGGGTCAGGAAGAGAGTGGGGTCCCGCTAACGCACGAGTGCACATGGCCTCCCTGGTGACGAGGGCCAGCCCAGGGGCACCGTCCAGGGCTCCCACCTTGTCCCGCAGCTCCTCCGCCTGGCGGACCTCCTCCTGTAGGTTATAGATCTTGTTGACCAGCTCCTGCCGGTCCTCCAGCGCCTCCTTGCGGTCATGCTCCAGGATGTCCAGGATGGCCTTGTCTGAGTCTGGTAGGCTGCGCTTCCCGGCCTGGGCGGGCGGGAGGGGAGGGTTAAAGGTGCTGAGGGGTAGGGTGGGGTGGGCAGGGAGCAAGGTGGACCCAGAAGGCAGGGCACAAAAAAGCCGGCGCCAGACTGACAGACCAGGAGGTTCTGTGCCAGGAAAGCGCAGGCCTGAACCGCTGTCTCTTGGGGTCCTTAAGCAGCTTATTATTTAAGAATTTTATCACCTGGAAAACATAAAACCCACTTCTGCTCAGGAACATCCCACGACCTGTTGTTCTGCTCTAGCTCTTATCGGATCTGGAGAAACATGTGCTGCTCCTGCAAACACTTCACAGGTGACAACAAAGAGAGGGCTGATCGGCCTTCCAGACGCTTCCCCTGAAATATCAACTAATCTGCTCCGATTAAACCTTGTTCATCCTCTGCTTCGAACCAGAGCCTCACACACCAGGCAGCCAATCCCGGGGGATTAATGCTGCAGGGCCGCCTGTTTTCTCTCCTTAGATGTATTCGGGGGCATTATTCCACAGTGCATGATTCTGTGGTGACAAAAGCAGGCAGGCTGGACGCTTTAACAAACCACGCTGAGCTAGCTGAGCTGCTCAGATCTTTAGGGCAAGTCGGTCTCCGGGCTGTACCTTCCTCATGGTGCCTGGAGCACCGGCGTCCGTGTGAATGATTTTCGTGGAGTGTGTTAAGGAAACTTTTCCCGAGCGTTATCTCACGTGACATCATGTCTGTGAGAAGCGGGTGGTGTGGTCACACCCAGTTTACAGAGGAGGACACTACGTCGCCCCTGGGTGCCGAGGGCTGCCTGCGGTCCTGAGCAGGTGCCCGGCCCCCGGCCTGACCCGCTAGCCCCCGCTGCCCAGCACCCTCCCGGCCTCACCTGTATGATGGACTGCAGTTCCTGGATCTTGGTCTTGAGCATCTCATTCTCCCGCTCCAGCTCCAGCACCTGCTCCTTCTTGGGCCGATTCTCGATGTCATTCTTTAGCTTCAGCGACTGGTTCCTCTCCAGCTTGCACTCCTCCTCCATCTTATTCAACCGATGTTTCAGCTGATCGATCTGCAACGCCCCAACAATGCCAAGGGGAGAAAGCAGTTGGCAGGAAGCACTCGGGAAAGGCAGTGCTTCCTCGGATGGCCCTGAACTTGCGGCAGAACCTGTGCTATGGCCCTTCTCTCCTTCTTCCAGGTGGCAACAGAGAAGGGCACAAAGAAACCCCTTCCAGTGAAACGAGCCACCATGTCCTTGCTGGTGAAGAGTTCCCGATTCATTAATTTAGAATAGCTCTCAAGGTGCTGTAAGTCCCTTGGAAAATGCCCTCAGGTAACTTGTGCAGGGTGGAACGGGCTACACGGGAGGATAAAAGATACCCACAGGTGTTTCCCCGAGGTCTGTTCCCCATTTCAATGCCCTTTTATGATGGGTTTCAAACTCTGATCCTCAGAAGTCAAGGACAGCCCTGACGAGCCCCAGTATTAGCCATAGGAAGTCAGGGTTCAGGGCCCCACCCCAACTCCAATCCCCAGAGCAGCTCTGAGTGCACAGGTTTGTTCTCTTGGGTTTCATACAAGGCTTTAGTTGAACACACGGTGCTGCTGCTAAAAGAACAGCTTGAGACACACTGGACTGTAAGTTCACAGGATCTCTGGTCCAAAGGGCCTGCCCAGACTTAGTGCTAGAAGGAGTGGTTTCCTGGAGGAAACAGTGACTACATCTACAGTGGGACCACTGGAGACGTGCTGGGCTTCAACCTCAAGAAGTGAGTGTTGGGAACTGGGATCAAAAGGCTTCTTAGGCCTTTGTGACTCAGCGTGTCTGCTCCCCGAAATGGGCTGGTCTTGGTACAACACCCCAAACAAGGGGACTCTTTTTAAGGGCTGCAGGGAAGGGAGGCACCAAAGGGGTGGCTGTCCTTTTTAAATTCCAGGCTTATAGGGAGAACAGCTTCAGGATATCCAGCAGGTAGGGGTGGTGGCTTTAACAAGGAAAGGGCAGCTGCTGCAGCCCCATGGCCCCAGGGAAGCACCTGGGGCTGAGCAATCACCTACGCCTAGACACACTGCGTCAGCATGAATGTATCTCCAGGGAAATACAATTCAGGAGAAAGTTCTCAGAGAGAAACTTGTAAGTCCCTGTCACAGGTTAACTTCCCCAAACCCTGGGTAAAACAGCATCTTGGAAGATCCACCCAAGCGCCCTGTGCAGACCCCCAGTTCCACCCGAGTGGGCATGGAGTGCCAGCACTGTGGGGTGCTTACTGGGTCACCCACTTTGCCAGGCTTAGGGTGCAGTGTCTCAGCAATCCTAGGGCGTAGGTACTATTTTCATTATTGCCATTTACAAATGAGGAAACTGAGGCCAAGAGCCAACTAAGTGGTAAAACCAGAAGCCATATTCGAACTCAAATCTATAGGATTGAAAAGCTCATGCTCTTAATAGAAACACTCTATTAACCGCTATGCTACTGACTCAGTTCACCTGAATTCTAGTGGATTGTTTACTAATCTGTCTGCTTCAACTAAATTGTAAGTGACCTGAGCAGAAATCAGGTTATTTATCCCCGTGTCCCCCACAGTGGTCAGCATTGTGCCTTACGCGTGGCAGGTGCTTAATAAATATTCTATTTTCCACCCAGTAGCCAAAGTGATCCTTCTAGATATAGATCAGTTGTCACTCCCCAGCCCTCAATCCTTCAGTGGCTTCCTACCACGGCTGGAATAAATGACAAAGTTCTTACCATGTCCCGGCCATCTGGACCCTGGCCGTCTCTCCCACCTCCAGTTAGCTCCAGAAAAACACGAAACATGCCCCCGACTTGGGACCTTTTGCACGGCGGCCTCCCTCCGTTTCCTCAGATCTTCTGGTCATGCGTCCCCTTCTCACGGAACTTTCCTGACCACCCCATCTCCACGAGCACCCCTCACTATCCTCACACTCCTTGTTCTCCTCTTCCTAACAGCACTCAGTTCTACCAGGTATGTATCTATTTGTCTCCTGATTAGAATGTGAGCCTCGTGACAGCAGGGCCTTGGTCTGGAGTTATGTGTCCCGGGGAAACAGCCCGCGGCATGGTGGCGGTCCATAAGTGAAAAGAATGAATGAGTTGAGCCAAGTTCCTTCCCTTTCTCCACTTTGGCGGTAAAGTCACTAATGACATCCATGATTTGGGGGGCAGACTGTTCATTGATAAGCGCATTGGCGATCTCACTGTGCCATGCTGAGCTTTGTGGATACAGTTGTAAAAGGCAGAGTCCTGGCCGCAAGGACCTCATGCCTCCACGGAACAGGCGCTGTGTCCGCCTCCTCGCTGACTTTCCTGGGGGCCATCATCTGGTCCCCTGGGTCCTCCCACCTTCCCCCTCACCTGGCGTGGTGCATTATCTGTGTGTGCATGTGTGCACATGCACAGAGTGGATCCGGCCCGGAGCAGGAGGGAAACCCCACTGGGGACACGTGGGCATGTCTATACTTGCGCGTGGTAGGTCTAACCTCCTGAGCAGGACGGAAGCGCCACTGGGTTCCTGTGCCCCTGCCCACACATGTGCATATGATCTGGGTCCTGATCCGCTGGCCAGAAGCCCCACTGGTTCTGTGTGCACCGAGCCCCGCCCGGTAGCCCCCGCGGAGCCCTCACCTCAAGCTGGAGGTCCCGGCTTCTCATGACCGCCATGTTCTTCTCCTCACTGAGCTGGGCGTAGCGCATGGCCAGGTTGTAGTTGTCGTCCTTCACCTTGACCAGCTCGTCGTTGTAGCCGTCCCGCTCCTCCTTCATCTTGTAGTACCGATCCTGGAACGTCAGCAGCTCCACCCGCGTCAGCGTCAGCTGCTTCTTCTCGTCCTCCAGCTGCCGCGACTTGGCCAGCAGCTCGCAGCGCTGCAGGTCCTTGGCCTTCATCTGCTGCTGCAGCTTGATGACCTCGTTCATCAGGAAGTGCGTGAGGCCCTCATGGCCCTCCTCCACTGTGGGGAGGGGCGGCCGTCAGGCCTGAGGCTGGGCAGTGCAGGAGGGGCGCTCCAGACATTCGTTCACTCACTCGCCAACACTTTACTGCCATTAGCATTGGGGTTCAGGGTGAGCAACACAACCGTGGGCCCAGCACCGCTCACGGCCAGTAAGGGAGACAGACGTTAAGAAAGGAGGTGATCACACACAAACGTAACTACAAGCTGAGTGAGGATTTGACTGTGAGAGTGTGTATCGGGGACCAGGTCCGGCCTGCTGGACAGAGGGCTTGGAGAAGGTTCCTGATAGTTGAGCTGAAATGTTAAGTGTAGGGGGGAAAACACGCTCTAGAAGGTGGAGCATCGCCAAGGCCCTAAGGGGAGGAGGGAGGGACTCGGCACATTCAGGAGCTGAAGGAAGACCAAAGTGGCTGGAGCCCAGAGCCAGGCAGAGGCAGAAAGGTGAGGCGGGGAGTGTCCGCAGGGGCTGGACCATGTAGGACCATGTAACCATGTGGCTATTTATTGGGTTGTCTGAAAAGTCACGACATATTTTTGCAACGAAAAACATAGAAAAAAATACGTCGTGACTCTTCCGACAACCCGATAGATGGAAGCAATGGAAAAAACACAGAAAGGTCTTACGCAGGGGAGGTTTATATGAGGAGTGGAGAAGGCATTGGAGAGAGCAGGAATTGATGTAGAGTAGATGGGGTTGTAGGGATCTGGACTGGGGTAGTGGTGGAGATGGAGAGAGGACGGATTCAAGAATATTTAGGAAGGAAAATTAAGGGGACAAGATGACAAGGGCTTTGGCTCAGGGATACTGGCAAGAGAGGAGGCAAGGCGAGGACAAGACCCAGAGGGGAGTATGAGTATCTCTTCTGCCCCACCAGCGTCCATGGGAGGTTCCATGAACACCCACTTCTCTTGGCTCCTGCTTCAGTTTGCCACTGTCACCTACTTTTCATCATCAGGCAGAAATAAGTGGTTGACAGACCACAAGTGCCGCAGGGGCACTGTCTTAATGCCCTAGACTTCTCTTTAGAACTGTCTTACCACAGGACAGGGACACACACACACACACACACACACACACACACACACACACACACTTTCTGCCAGAGTCTGAATGCTCTGGATGGCAAAGCCACTCACCCACGATGGTGGAGAATCTCCGGGTGGGCTCCTTCCCAGTCACCAGTTTGTACAGTTCTGGGTAGTAAAATTCCAGGCTCTCCAGGAAGACCACATAGCCCCTTTGGCCCTTGGTATGTAGAATGTCCAACAATCGGCCTAGGGGAAAAGCCAGACCACTCTGAGAAGAAGAGGACGTGTCTGATTGGATGCAAGTCTCATGTCCAGTCTTACCCTGGACTCTAGGAAGGCAGATTCTGTCACCACATTCTGTTACTCCAGAGCTGTATCTTGGAATCCAGATAATGTAAATCAAAGTGCCAGGCCCTCAACAGGGATTCAGTGGGCGTGAGTTTCCTTTCTCTAAGAAATTGGTAGAACCAGGATAAATGGAACTGCAGTCTCAGGAAACCAACAGTGTCAAAGAGCTTCCCAGTGGACCAGGGTTAAAATTAACCATACACGCATCAGCTCTGATGTGATTGAAGGAGGCTGGAAGTACAATAGCAATTACAGAATGATACATGGTTCTCTGGGATTCAGAGCAGAAAGACAAATGTTTGTGTGGGGAGCTAGGAGAAGTCATAGGAAGCAGGCATTGCCATCTGCTCTTTTTTGGGATTATCACCTGGTCTGGAAACATCTTTAACCTAAATGTAACTTGCCCAGCAGTTTTCAGTTTCCACCCTACTGGTTCCACTTATTGTTTACATTTCTTGGCCCTTCCTTCAACAATTTTTCAGTTGTTTCTCCCCTTGAGGTCCTAAAACTACCTTTTTCCGTAGGATAGACATAATAAGTAAGTTTCATCTTGTGTCAACGGGTTGTTTGGCGGAGCTGCCTGCAGCACTGTGCTGAGAAGGAGTCTAACGCTACATCCAAGCGCAGCAGGAAAGCATGCTGTGATTAGTGATGTCTGTCATGTACGCAAAAGAGAGTCACAGCGTATGAGCTACTTGTCACCAGTTACACTGTGGGAAAGTGATTTTCAAACCTTTTAAACCATGAGCCACAGAAAGAAATGGATTTTACACTGTGACCTTGTGCCCACACACCAAGACAAATACACAAACGTATGTGTATACACACATACACACATACACACACACATATAAAACCAAAACAAGTTCCACAAACTGTACTTATTACCGTTAATGAATGTGATAAAGTGTCAGGGACCACTGGGCAGTCTAGAAAAGTCTACGGACCCCTTCTCAGAATAATACTTGTCTCCTTTTTTTAAATAAAAATTTAAATGGGGTGACATTGGTAGAATAATACTTTTAAATAGATAAAGTGCATGGGTTTACAACAGGAAACAATTACAATAAAATACAGTGATCAAATGTTAAAGTTATGACTCAGTAATAAATGTTCTTCTTTATTAATGCATTAAATAACACAATGTCTGGACATGTCTAATAAGTACTCCAATTTCGAGGGAGAGATGAGTGTACATGATATTTGGGGAGATGTGTAACAGCTGTAACATGATAGGTAATGTGATATGAAGACACCTGTAAATTTTAGTGTTGACAAAGTCACGAGGATTGCTAATCACTACTGTCATTTGTTGCCTACCTACATTCCTACCTTCATCACTGAAGGGGATGTTAAAGCTCAGGCTAGGTTAGTGAAATAACCGTAACCCCCCCATCCAAGTTCTTGGACCCTCTCAGTTCCATATATAGCTCGGTGGGTCACAGGCGTGGGCCGAGGTCTGTCTGTGGACCCCAACCGACAAACCCGACACGAAACACTTCATGTGGGTACAGCTAACTGAAGATGAAGGGCATTTCTGGCAGCGGCTGCCACCAGAGGTCCCCGCTCCCGCCCCCCGCCAGGGGCTCCTCTGGTTACCTACCTGCCCGGTTGATCTTGGATGGCAGCATGGGCGCATTGAGCACCTCATCCTCGTCTTGCTCGTCGATGACCTTGCACTGGCGCAGGTAGGGCGTGAGCTTGGCCGGGTTGATGTAGCGGCTGAGCATGTGCCGGTTGCACTCCACGTTCTCCCACAGGGCGTCCTCCTCGTCCTTCAGCGTCTCCATGTAGTCATCCATCTCGGGCCCTCCGCCTTTCACACAGAACCCCGACAAGGTCAGCAGCAGGGCCTCACTGGGCAGCCCTGTGCCACGCTGCAGAGTGCTCGCCGGGGTACGGGGAGTTGGAGAAAGGAGAGGGAAGCCTGGGTGCTGTTTTACCTACTTAACAGAGGAGGGCCAGGAATGCAGGGACTTGCGGGGGCGTCTGCAGCTGGAGTAGACCCTTTCCATCCCAGTCTGTGCATCTCACTAGGCATTTGCCTTTCCCAAAGCAATACATAGTATCATTTTTGGTTTTACAACTTCACCTAAATGGTGTCATACCGTATGCTTCCTCGTTTCCTTTTTTCAACTTGCTTTTTACTCTACATTTTTAAAGATTTATTTAGGTTGATACATGTAAATCTAATTGTTCATTTTTAAGCAGCTTTAAGGAGATATAACTCATGGACCATGCAATTTGCCTTTTTAAAGTGTACAGTCCAAGGGTTTTTAGTATATTCACAGTTGTAAGGAGCAGTCACTCCATTTCCCTCCAGTACTTGCCCCCCCACCCCCACCCCCCATCTACCTCTGTGTCTACAGATTTGCCTGTCCTGGACATTTCATGTACGGCAGGCCCTTGAAAAATGTCACTTCATTCAATTGTCAGTATAACAATCTCTGAATTTCAATTGGTTTATTCGTCTTTAACTGCTGAATATATTATTCCATTGCAAGGATATACCCAAATTCCTTCTCTGTTACCCTGCTAATGGGTATTTAATTTCCCCCCAAGTGTTTACTTGACCGTTTAGCACTATTGGTAAGAGGGGAAAATGGAAACAACCTAAACATTGGTCAGGAGATACTCCAGGACCCTTTTATACCACGGAATATAGCATGGATGTGGTGACATGAAAACATCCCAAGACACAGTGCTTTTTAAAAAAAGTAAATTTCAGAATACATGCATGCAGTGTATATAATAAAAAAAAAAGTTTTGGTCTTTGTCCCAGGTTCCTGGTACAGAGCTCCTAAAACCTTTGGAATCGTGTGGTGAGAGTGTGTCTTTTGTATGGTAATGTGATGACTGGTTGATAAGGGCCCCAGGGGAGCGTCAGGATGGGGCTGGCTGGTGGCCAGAAAAACCAAGCAAGTCATTGGAAGGCTGTACCTTTCAGCCCCACACCCCAACCTCTGCAGAGGAGAGAGGGACTGGAGACTGAGCTGATTTAAACCATCACACCTATGTAATGCAACCTCGCCAAAAATCCCTAAACAATGGGGGCCAGGAGTCTCCAAGTTTGTGGATGCACACTCATGCTGGGAGAGGGGCACCTCAGCTCCACGGGGACAGAGGGTCCTGTGCTTGGGACCCTTCCAGACCTTGCCAAAATGGCTTTTCATTTGTGTCTTTTAAAATCAGGTATGGTAATAAGTACAGCGTTGTCCTGAGTTCTGTGAGTTATTCTAGCAAATTATCGCACCTGCTGAGGGGGCTGTGGGGATCCCTGATTTACAGCCACCCACTGAGAGCCACCCACTCACATCCTCTCAGGAAGCCACGGCCCTGGTATCTTGTTGGTGCCAAATAAACCCTCTGGCCAAGGCCAGCTGACCTGCACCTTGACCTGGGGATTTCACCTGGGCCACAGAAACAGTGGTTAGGTGTGTGTGCTGTGGGGAACTGAACTAGAGGTGGCACCAGGACGCTGTGGAGGCTGGAGCTGGGTCACCGTACAGCAGAGACACAGGCAGGAGGCCAGGCAGGCAGGGGAAGCTGCAGGGAGAGACCCTGACGGAGGGCCCATGAGGACTGGGAGGCTCGTCCCTCTGGGTAGCTAACTGCAGCTCCTGCCCCATCAGCCTTGGCCTCGTGTGCGATCTGGTCCTGTACATGGTGTCTGGTCATCACTCTAGGCCTTCGTCAAGCTCCCCATTAATTTGAACTGTTTTGCGTGGGCCTCTGCTGTATGCAACCAGAGGGCTTGCGTCACAATAGCTGTTTCTGTTCTGAGCAACAGCTGACTTAACTGACTTAAGTGAGTCAAAATGAGGATTCAGTTCCATTCATTTCAGTAAACTCTGCATGGACAGCACCCCAGCTTCACAGACTTAAGTCCTAACCTCTGCGAGCCCTTTTGCTAACACAGGGCCCTGGCTACCTGGGTCACTTGGTGAGTTTGGGTTCATGCCACATAAATATGCCCATCTCAGTCGCTCACTGACGAGTCAGTATGATGATCACTTCCATTCACTAAGGAAAATGTACCTTCCTTTCCTGTTTCCAAACAGGCAGTGTCCATGTTGGACGGTCTTCCCTCTCCCGAGTCTCAGCTGGAGGCAACTGTGACCCCACCCTCAGCAGGGTCTGGCTTGGTCTTGAATCAAACCCTGGACATTGGTCTTTCTATTAAACAGCAGGAAAACCAAGTTCAAGGCTCCCGGGCCAGGCCCTACAGGATGGGCCATTTTGTCACCTTTTTTTGGGACAAGGAGACGACCTGCCTGTGGACAAGCTCCGTGGCAGCTGCTGGTCTCACGTCCCTCACTCATTCAATCGAAGCATTTCTCATGTGGCTCCCTATGGCTATCACCGTGAAGTTCAAAGTCTTGATCTTGACCCCCGGGGCCCTGAGTGGTTTGCCTCCTGCCAGCCCCCGCCCCCAGGTCTCATTCTGATGGTGTCCCAGGCACGCTGGCCTCTCTGATTCCCCACCAAATTCCTGCTTGCTTCAGAGCCTGCTGCCTGCGGCCCCTCATCCTGGACCTCCCCTCACTGCTCCCCGTCACAGCTCAGATAGCCTCCCCTTTATTTTTGTTCAATCTAAAGGAGATGACACAAGACGTACCTGGCATGTGGCAGGCTCACGACGGCAGCTGCTCCCCTCTGACTGAGGTTACACTTTACTGCTGCCCGGGGCCTGCCCCTCCTTGAGCCAGTCTCCTGGATCCGGAGTTGCGGTGGCCGGGATCTGTGCAAGGAGAGATAATATGGCTTGGCACAGAGGTGGAGGTCAGAGAGCGAGAGCAGAATTCAAGGATCAAAGTCACGCCGAGTGCGTCTCTCCAGGTGACAGTGACGAGGCGCACCGTGCCCAGGAGCTGCTGGGCAAGAAAGGCTTTTGCTCCAGCCCGTGGGCAGCCTGGAAGGCCGCTGGCTGCGACCCCTGGGAACACAGTGGGGCAGACTGGCCTGGGGGCTGCGCAGGGTGGGGGAATCTCTCCATGCAGAGTGGAGACATTCTCATCAGCCACTTTCATGAGGTCAAAAGCAGCAACCCCAGTCCTGAGCCCAGAAGAGTTCCCTTCACTGTGAATTATGTCTTCAGCTCCCAGCTTGCCGTGGGTTTGGGCAGGGACACGCCATGGCACACTCCATGATTTCCCCAAGGGGGCGTTCCTCACGGTGACTGACAGGCTGTGGGAACGCCCGGCTCGGCTGCTCTAGGAGCCTGGCTGTGGGTTTTACGGGAAGGGCCAGTTCTCCTTCTGGACAACAGGAGGCCAGGCAGGAGGGAAGGTGAGGCGCAAACCCTGAGAAGGTGAGAGGGGACTGACTCCTGTCCTGACAACTGCTAGGGTCCCTGTGGTGGGGCCTCAGGCAGCTGCTCTGTGACCACTCCACTTGGGAGTGATGGGGACCCTGGGACACCCCTGTTTAATCAGCAACTTGCTTGGTTTTGGCTTTGAGGATTAATCACAGGTGACACCAGCTCTCCCAGAGCTGACAGAAGCTGTTCTTGTCGGGTGTCAGCTGGATCGGAGTGAGCTGTCACAGGCCCTCGGCCCCGGGGAAGTGGCAGTGACACGCTTCTCTGGAGGACACCGTCTCCTTGGTGTCCTCATGGCCTCCCTGCTCTGCGGCTGGGACAGGAGCAGCCGCACTGCTGTGGGCACCATGGGTGAGGGCTGGGGGGAGGCCTGCAGAGCCAGTGCCAAGGTCAGCAGGGCTGGCCACAGGCCAGCGAGCGAGGGCAGAGGGAAACGAGGCTTTCCTGCACTTGCATTAGAAAAAGAGAACATGCGTTTTTTTTATAATCAGAAGAAAAGGCTTTTAAAACATGAATTGTGTGGGAGGGAAAACAGGCATGCGTGCATAGGTGAGGTTGGGAAACTGAGGCACAGGACGGCCAGTCGTGAGGCTGAACTACTTACTATTTCTGCCCTTAGAGTTTTGATTACACCCTTGAGATCTCAGCCCTAAGGCCGGGAAAATGTAGAGGGTACGAGTCTCCCGAGGGACTGGCTTATGGGTAGAACATTCAACGGGCCGAAACATCTCCCCTGATGCTTACAGACCATTGCCTGTGTGCCCGGTACTTTGCTAAGCATGGCTGATAGACCTCAAGGGCTCTTTGAGATAGGTGGTATTATTATCGGTGTCGCTGTCATCATCATCATCATCATCCCTGTCTTATAGCCAAGGAAATCAAACCCCGGAGAGGTCAAAGTCATATAATTAGCATGGAAGGCAGGATTTGGACCCAAGGTTCTCTCACTTCCTCTTAATCACTACTACACAGACCTGAGAATTGCCTTTTTTTTCAAGTTTGCCATTTAAATGACTCTATCCAGAAAGTGTATGTACAAAAGCTCCCTGAAACATCACTTTAACACACAAGCTAAAGCCAGAACTAAAACCAAGGACTAAGATGGCAGATATTGGCTCAGGGTTAAAAAGAACAACTACTGCTTCTCAGAAAAGGCACCAATTGCTTAGTGAGTTATTAGTCCGTCATTCAAGCCCCACTGTTGAAGGCCTTCACCCCACAGTGAAGCCCGTTAGATGGACATTCGTACACACCGTTTTTCTTGCTCCCACTTAAGAATAAAGACACCAAGGATCACGTGATGTTTGGGGACCATCTCCACGTGAAAGGAAGAGATCAGATGAGACAAACTAAGACAAGGAATCCGCAGGAAGCAGACAATGCGCAGAATAAGACAAAACTAAAAAAACCCACCATTTGATAATTAAAATCCATTAAGAGATAAGATGTTGTATCCATAAAACAACAGTAGGATGCTCTAAAAAGGGAACAAAGGATGAGTTCTTGGC